CTCTACAGCGAACAAATTTAAATATGGCATTTTCTGCAGATTTTAGTGCACATTTTCTATGTATTTTCCGTGTTTAACACATTGTAAATAAAACAAACTAAAAATGTGCCGTAACTTTTGCACAGGCCACATTTTATGTTCTATTTTTGCCTCAATATTGTAAATTCAACAAATAAACAGTAAATGTGCATTAAAATGTGCAGATGTGTGTCTGTAGAAGATGTGTTCATATATTTTCTCTTAGAAAATCAACAAACTATGCAATTTAACCAGGGTGCCCAAACTTTGCAGCATAATTGATGTTGTGCATCATGAAAATGGCTTTGTGAATCTTGAAGTTTTATTTTTCCTATATCGCCCACCCTTAACATCACAAAAAAGCAGAGAACATATTGTTGCTGTCCAAAAAAAAAAGTATTGTTATTTTTTTGGGATTTCTATTTTTCTATATCATTTGAACATGGTAGCTGTCTTTTACAATGTGTGGACGTTTTATGATGAATGGCCAACAGAAATGGTCCAAATTTCCATGGAATAAACCTTACTGGGATATACCTTACATTAAAAGAGAAGCAAGGTTTTGCCTTCTCCTGTTTAGTTACTGTTTGGAAGATACTTTTATTTCTTTGGACAACAACAATATATTTAACCGAAAATTACACATAAGCCTCAACAACTGAATATCATATCATTTGTTTAATATTTAATGTGTGCACCCTTTACCTTTATTACTGTTTCCATTCTTTTGAGGATGCTTGCATTCAATTTTTCAAAGAAATCTGCAGGGTATATTCTCTAAAACTCCAAGTTCAGTCTTAGAGGTTGCATTTTCTGCTTCTAACCATCCAAATAATTCCAATCACAAACTCACCAGTCCATAAAACCTCATAGCACATCTTAGAAATGTTTTTTTCTTATTTTGTGTATTTCCTTTTTTCAGTAAGGGCTTCTTGACAGCGACATATCTTTCAGACTCAAGTGTGCTGAGTTGTCTTCTCACAGTGGAAGGATGGACAGAAACACCTGTGGATATTTTTCAGATCCGAAGCAGCTTGATTTTCTCCTCTCTCTCAAAGATGAAAGCTTCAAGTGTTGTTTATCTGATGGGGGCAGTTTTCTGTGGTCTACCAGGTCTTGCATGGTTGTTAAAAGTCTCATTTTCATCTTTTATTCATTTTTTAAGCTCCAATCTCCTTTTTTAAAATTAATTTTCCTTCAACCTGTTTTAAAAACTCCAGCAGTACTGCTGCGTCTGATCCATTCAGACCAGCACAACACACACTAACACACCACCACCACGTCAGTGTTACTGCAGTGCTGAGAATGATCCACTACCCAAATAGTACCTGCTCTGTGAGGCTCCATGGAGGTCCTGACCACTGAAGAACAGGGTAAAAGGGGGCTAACAAATATGCAGAGAAACAGATGGACTCCAGTCTGTAATTGTAGAACTACAAAGTGCCCCTATACAGTAAGTGGAGCTGATAAAATGGACAGTGAGCATAGAAACAAGGAGGTGGTCATAATGTTATGCCTGATGGGTGTATTTAATCTAATCTAATCTAATCTTCTTAGAAATATCACCTTAAAATCATTCACTTGTACTTAATGGCCTGTTTGACTGAAATGTAAATAAATGAGTGGTTGCACAGTGTAGTGTATAGTGTGTTTAACAGTGTGTAACCAGACACAGTTTCCACATTCTGAGTGGAAAATTTGTGTAAGTGTTCTTCTTGGTACTGTAAAATCTGAGCTCAGTTTAGAGGACATATCAGTACAGTCAAATGAAACCAGCTGAGCCACACACCTCAGTAAAGACCACCAGGGGTCTGGGAGGAAAAATGTTACCAGCACAAAGAGTCACTAGACCCAAACCACTGCAACATTTTATTTTGGAAACTTTGTGGTATTAATTAGGATGACTGAAGGGGGGCCAGCCAGCCTGTGAGTGTGTGCTGTCTGGCAGGAGTGTGTTGTGGAACAGGAAGCTGACCATCTGGCCTAATTATATGTGACCATTTACTGCCATTCTCTAGAATGCTGTAGTGAGCTCAGTATATGGTACTTTGTGTTCACATGGTGAAACAATTAGACATTTTGAAGCCAGACCTTTTTCTGGGTCAACAGAATTAGACATACAAGAGGTGAGTGTCTAGCTTTGATTCTGAGTTACGCTACAGACGATATATGATAATAAAAGCCTGAAATAATCATTTAAAAGTCAGAGGAGACAGATCGACTTTCACAGAAGTTTTTTAAACCATGTCAAATGCAAATCGCTGATGTCGGAAGAAAACCTTTTATCTCCATTTTTCGATGTTTTTCAGTTTCTGACATCATTTGAAAATACTTGTTACTCTTTACATTATACATAAATTTCATAATGAATGGACTAGAAAGAAATGACCCAAAATGACTTGGAAACAAGTCTGGTTTCATTGACTTACATTAAAAGTAAAGTAGGTTTTTTCCTTCTTCTGTCAAAGTTATAATTTTGGAGATACGAGGTTTTCTTCCGACAACAGCGAAATGCTAAATCAACATTATATAATACTATACAGACATGACGACAATAATAGATCATTCACTCATCCTTGGAATACACGTCCTTCAAATTTTGACTGAGTTTTCTTTATTTCAGCACACTTGCAATCATCAGACTTAAAGGGGTCTGAAGCACAACCAGTATTACAAAATGTTCTTTTGCACATTATATGCAGTTACACCTTCCCACCAGAGAGGTCTCCAAATCCCTAAAATCTACATAGTGTAGCTTTAAAGTTATTTTTTTTTGTTTTTACCAAGATGGCAGAGTGAAAGCGAGCACATACTTAAGAGACGTGACACACCAACATCAAACTGCGGATAACATATCATCATTGGGGAGCCCAATACAACACTAACTGCCCATTCTATTACAGCTAATAGGCAAAAACAAACATTTTGTCTTTTAAGTGATATAAATTATGATTAACATAATCAGGATCATGAACTAGTAAGATAAATTTGATTTCAAGTTGGCTTTAACTTTAGTCATGTAAACCTAAATAACACATGATCCTGTGCTCTATTTAAAAATGTTGTGAAATTGAACTGTGTCAGTACTTTCCAGTATCAGTTCAGGTTTCTAAGACTAGAAGTACATGGTCTGAATAAGCAGATTATCTGAAATGATTTTAAACTGTGGACAGAAATGGTGATCAAACAAAAACAAAGCTTGTTGGCACAGAGAGAACGAGAGAAAGCTGTGTGCGTGTGTGAGAGAGCCAGCTGCTGCAGCATCTGAATGGCCGTTGCTGACTGTCACATGACCCTCCAGATCCTGCTCTCTCGCTTTCAACTATAGGCCAGCTTTTAGAGCCAGGGATCTCTCTGGCACTGAAACCCCCTACTGCTGAAAAAAGGGGTATTTTTTCATTGGCCCTTGGTGCCCCAGTGGTCAGTCAGATTGAAACTTCCAGAAATGGAAGTTAAGGGTAAGCTCCACTGATTTCAAAGAGTCTACATAATTTAAAGGGTTGAGATTCAAAGTCGTTCAGAGAGGTTTGATGTGAAATGCTCCAATCTAGAGAAACATGCAGGGTCAGAGTTGTCCACAGTGTTGGTCAGATGTCTGAAGAGTTTAATGCCTCTGAAAGCTCAGTTATAACATGAAGTTGTTAGATATATGCTGCCTGATGTCTGACGCGTTGTTTAACCTCTTTAACTCCTTGGGACCACCGGTGGTTCCAAAACGCACTTCATCATATTCTTTACTTCATAACTTTCATATTTTATAAGCTTCATTCAAAAGGTGTGTGTCGTATGAGAGCTGTAACTGTCTTCTTTCCAGTCAAATAGATGGGTAATGTAATTTTAGAACTTTATAATAAAAGAAGCTGAACAACTTTTTTTTCTACTGAAAGTTAAATAATTTTTCCACAAATCTGACCTATAAACTGGATCTCAGATGGCGTCTCCTCAGTGATCTGCTCTGCAAAAATTATTTTTATAAAAAATACAAAGAGCATCTAAGATTTTTGGCTTTCAGCAGTACATGGTAAGCATATATCATGTTTATGATCATAAAACATTTTCTGTTCATTTGAGGGGAGCTTTACAACAACAACAACAAGAAAATTAGTTATTTCATGCAGTTACTGAATAATTTGCCTTACGATTTGGGCATGTACATTCAGATGGAAAAAACAAAATACACCTACCAGCATAAGTGGTTAATGATAGTTTTGTGATAAAGTTTTGGCTTAAAAAAACACAGAAAAGACACCTGTAGGTTCACTGGCGGTGTTGGATAGTAAATAAAATGGCTGTATTTGTGTTGTAGACACTGTGACCCCTGGTTTTTATCACCACCACTGTAAAGAAATCAGGTCTGTAAGTTTCTCTGCAATGAACCGCTTCACATCACACCACTCTGAATGACTCTGTTTACAAACTTAAGTGCTGAATTATTCAAAAATTTTGATAAAATGGTAGAATTCCCCTTTAAAGATGAGTTCATGATTGTGGGCTCGTTTTTCAGTGAAGGTGTTTTTTTTTTTTGCGCAAAAAAAACACCTTCACTCATGTAGAACATGAGGATATGGGTACTTTAAATGTGTGTGTGTGTGTGGGTGTGTGTGTGGGTGTGTGTGTGGGTGGGGGGCGGGTGGGGTGGTGTGGGGTTAGGCACAAATAAAGAACAAGCTGAAAAGTCAGTACTTTTGGACCTACTGTTGATATCATACATTGGGAAAAAACAGTAAAATCTTCACGTTGCTATTTCAGTGAGTCTAACTCAGCCCTTCCGAACACATGTACCCTTTATGGTGCCACACAACACGACCAAAACCTCTTTTCAAGGCAATAAGCAGAAAAGTAACGTTACTATATTATAACTGATGTATAACAACGTGTGGGTACAGCGTGTGTTTTAGTCCCTCACAGCCGAGTTGCCTGCTGGGAAAAATCTGATCGTTTTCATGCAGGCTTTTGCTGACGTAGAGAGGGAGAGGGAAGGAGAGGGAGAAGGAGGGAGGGGAGAGGGATGTTTACGAGTAGAGCTAGACGCTGAGAGAGAGACAGAGAGAGAGAGAGAGAGACGGCGGGGGAGCTGAGTGCTACGTTCAGAAAAACACGGAGAAGAACAGCAGCAGCAGCGGCTCAGTGTCAGTGCAGCTTTATCTCGGTATGAACTGCAGCCTGTAGCTCACCAGCACGCTGTACGCGTTAAAATGACCAGCTCGGGTCACGCAGCCTTTCTCCTCAGCCTTGTTTTGGTGGTTTCTTCATCACCAGTCGAAGGTAGGAACCCCTTTGTTCTCTCTTCGCCTTTTAAAAAAGTGTGGAAACGTTTTACTTGGAGAAAGTGCTTCAGTTTGTTCTCATTTTCTATTTTATTTTTTCCTTTCTGTTTGTCTGCAGTCTGAATGTGCGTGTCCATTGTTTTCCCTCACATTATAACACCCCACTAAGGCCATTCTAAATAAAAAAAAGCTGTTTTCCTTTTTATTCATTTTAAGTCTACGCTTTTTTACTGAAAAACTGTGTAAAAATAAAACTTTTTCTGTCAGTTGTGGACCTACATTAGCCACTGTGTTCTAGAAATCCTGTGCTTTTGTTGTTTTTGTTGTTGCAGCTGAGGTGTAGTGCCACCACACTGGTTCACCCTGGCAGTGTGTTTCCTATCTGCTGTTTTTTTATCTGAGTGATCGGTCTGTTAATTCTCCACATGTTGGGACATTTTGCAGACTGTATAAAGGACTCCAATGGTGTAGAGTACAGAGGAACCCAGCAGAAATCTTCTTCAGGGAAGGTCTGCGTGAACTGGAACAACACAACCAGAGACTATGACATCCAGAGCCATGCAGATTCACACACAGGTGAGAGTCCTGCTCAGGTGAACCGTAACCTCCACTCAAAAGTGATTAAACTAACAACTGTCATGAATACGGCCAAAAGTGTCCAGATGCCCCTTCAGCTACTTTAAGGTGCACCCATTGCTGACACAGGCCTTCATTTGCACTTATACACTGTTAGAAATGAAGGTTCTGTGCAGGTACGTTTTTCGTTCATCAAGGTACAAACAATATAAATGTTCCCTCAAAGGTACAACAGTGGTTTTAAGGTCCAATTGTGCACCTTGAATAGTTTTTTCCAGGCAAAAAGTGAGTATTTGTACCTTTCCATAACTTAATATGTTAAAACAGAGCAATAAAATAAAAAGGAGGTGAGACGGGGTGTGTGGAGTCAGTACATCGTAGAAAATATAATTTCAATGGATTATGGTACAATTATGTTCCCTGACTAAAGGTACTGAGAAGTACCCTTGAGGATACCACCCCACTTACAAGAGGGGTACTGCCTCAGAGACAGTTTCATACTTTTTTTCTGAGAGTGTATAGAAAAGCACTGCCAACAAAAAATCGAATAAGGCGTCATGTCCAATACTGAGCTTTGGCTTGAGGGGTATAAAACCCCCCGGTTTTGTGCTGTAGTGCAGTGGAACTGCATTCTCTGGATTGATGGAGCTCCATCGGATACCTTTAGCATGAGTTGGAGTGGCATGATCCAAAACTTACCATCCTGACTTCATTAATGCTCTTGTGGTTGAATGCAATCAATTCCTCACAATGAAGTTCCAACATCTAATGTAAAGCCTTCCCAGAAGAGTAGAGGCTGTTACTGCAGAAAAGGGGGTGGACAGACTCCCTATAATACCCTTGATTTCAGAAGAATGGATGAGTAAATGTGTACAAACCTTTGGACAGAGCTTAAATGTTTGCACTTAATATTAATTGCAGTAATAGAACAGCCCAGTTAAAAGATTTTAATGTTCTGATACAAAACAGCTGAGTCATCAGATTTGGCTAATCCATAAGCAGGCACTTTGCTGGGATGGGCATACAGACAGGGCCACAAACATATTTACGTATACAATCAGAGTAGGGAAAAAAAACACTCTCAACAATGGTTTTGCATCCTTGTGCACTGTTTTTGTATCATTATATTGCTATTCCGTGAATTATTTAGGCCGTTTTCTCTCTTTCTGGCCTCCATGTAGGTCAGACAGGCATATTTTATTAAACCTTATCATTAAATCTGTATTGTTCAATAGATTGTCTCTTTCTACTCAGGTGTTGGGGACCATAATTTCTGTCGTAACCCTGAGGCTCAGATGGGCCCTGGTGCTACGTTTCCGGAACAGATGGACGGCTCCAGAGAGAGGCGTGTGCCATTGACTCATGCCAAGGTAGCCATTTTAGCACGGTTCATCACTTACCTCTGCCACAGTACACGTCTCCTGTGTCGATAGATGCATTATTTTTGCATACATACGCAAGCAGTACAGTGTTTAGAAGGACTGTGTATTTACATATGTGAAAGCTATTATTAGGCCCAGTCACATCTATAGCAGCTGGTAAAGTCCACAGAGAAACTGCTCCTACTGACTTTGTACCTAATTATTCTCTTAACCACTAAAAGTCAAGATTTATTACTTTATTTGTACTGGGCTGTTCAAAAGTAACTACATAATTACATATTTAATTACATACTGAGTTACACTGAATTATGTTTACATTCCAATTGCATTGCATTTGCACATCTGAATTTTTCTGTTCTGAAAAAATTGGCAGAAATGTAAAGAATGTTTTTTTTGTCTCCGCAAGATAAGATACACCTACAACAATAACTTCGCATCAAATTTAATTCATAATAAAATATCTCCTTTTACACTTAAGAACACAAAATTGGTATTGGTTCAACATTTAGAAACTGCACTGTCTTCAAAGTTCTCTGCTTTTTTGATGAACTACAAGTGAAAAAAATAATGTAAAATTACTGCTTGGTTTTATCATCACTCCTAATACAACAGCTAAATAAAATACCCTCAAAGTAATAATAGTAATAATAATAATAATAATAATGATGATGATAGGGATCTATGACCAGAATCAACCAAGGCTAAAATTGGCACATTTTTGCTCCAAACACTCAGTCGGCAATCATCCAATTAAAGTTTTTTTTTATTGTTATTTAGAAGGTAAATAACGTTGGCCAAGTAAGTATTTGAATGCTGTTGCTACATCTATACTGAAATGTTGTAGCATAATAAAATATGACTCATTGTGCGAAATAGCAATTTGTGTCTTACTTTCAATGCAGCACTTTAATTAAATTAATTTAATTAATTTAAATGGTTTTCCATTTGAATGTAAAAAGCCAGTTTAGTTCATTTACATACTAATTTATATTGCAGTTTTGGCTAATAGAAAGTACCTGAAATAGAAAAAGGCCAAAAATATCAGCCATCAGCCAATTTGGAATCAGAAATCGACCATAAAAATGAGTAATTATTGCATTCCTACATAATAATAAATGCTAATAAATCCTTATTTAAATAGCACTTTGCATATTAGTTTAAAAATCACTACGTTTTAAACAGGAACGTAAATAAAAGGTTAGAAAGGTAAGTGACCATGATGTGCAGTATTTGTACAGAATGACTGACAGCGGTAACTTTCTTTTTTAATTAAGTTTGAGAGTGATAGTTTGAAAGTAACTTGTCTCAAGACATTTCACAGCATGTGCCAGCAGTGGTTCTCTCCAGTGGTCACAACATGTCCATTCCTCTGTTTTTTTTCTCTATATTCTGAAACGCTGCCAAGCAGCACCATTAAAAAACATCTCCAACTTTTGAGTGGAGTGTAAATGTTTCCAGGAGGTTTTCTCTGAGGACAAACACTCTTTCGCTAAGCTCAGCAGGCTTGGGTGGACCTGAACTTGTTTGCAGTTCGTCCCTTTCAGATAGCGTTTTCCTCAGAGCTCTCTCAGCCCCTTATTTGGCGAACAGCTAGAGCTGGAGCATTAGGGTTTACCAAACAAAGCCAGGCTGGTGGATTAATCAGTGGAAGGACAAGCAGGGAGGCATTTAAGGACCCTTAGAAAGAGTTTACTGAGTTTACTGAGTTCAGTGGGCCAGTTGGTCAGACTTCTTCTGAAATTAAGCTGCTTTCTAAGTGCTGCCCTTAGCTTTTGTGTCTGCCAAGACAGATCAGGTTAAACAATAACATCAGACTTGGTCCTTTTTGGCCTCCTTTCAGAGACAAAGACAAAGACTCGCATGCATGAAACTTGTCTAGCAGCTGTGCAAGACTAAGGAGGAAGACCCGTCCCTCTTTGCTTCTAATTGGCTGATAGTGGCATGCTCTCCATAGAGACAGCAGCTGATTGGCTGGTCTCCACTGTGACCTCATGCAGCATAACTCCAGTAGAGTTGGTAAACAACTTTTTTAAAGAGGTGTGGGGACACAGGGAGGGGGTGGAACGAAGTCACTGTTGGCTGAGAGGAAGCAGGTCGGAGTTGTTGATCTGGTTTCCCCCTCACTGTGAGAGTGGTTAAAGCATGTCACGTGTAGCGAAACATCTGTCTTCTGTAGCACTTAGCTCAAAGGCAAACAAATATGATGAATCTTGGTCTTTGCTCAGTTCTGATAAAATTTTATATAGCAATATTTCCATATATATAGAGCATCACTGTGTCACATGGTGCAGTGAAGAGAAACAAGTATTGAGACACTTTTGGTTTTGTAATTTAATGTACCTCCAGTGTATATATCCACTTGAAATTTACACACATAATGTCTTTTGACTTTGCACTAAATGTGAACAAAAAAGCATGTATTCGCAAACATAAAAAAGAAGTGTAAAAAAACAAAGTTGAAAAAAAAAGTGCAACCTATAAGAAAAATATATAGATATGTATGTGTAAATGTTACATAGAAATGAGTGTCTTAAACGCTGGAGTTAATGTAGCCTGTATCTGCTAATTCACCAACCTTTAACCCTGAAGGTTGGCACGAAGACTGCTGGTCACATAGCAACGCACACAACAATCTTGCCTAGCTATCAGCTAACGAAAAGGCAAAGAGAAAGATTTAAGATGAACTTGGATAATTTGGAGACGAATGGACTTATTTGCATTTATAAGCACTCAGCTTGTTTCCTGATACGTTTAATCTGCTATGAGAAACTGTCGAACACTAAAAAGTCACAAAGCTTGTTTGAATTGTCCTGTTCCAGCTTAAACGGTGCAGCAGTTACATTCAATTCAAGCAAGAAGCCGGTGAATGAGAAGCTGACTTCAGCCTCGTAAAAAGTCAAACGTTGAGAGACATTTTACAGTAAGCTTCTCTACTTTTGGGGGAAAGTTTCCTGCCAGAGATGTGTGAAAAGCGGCTATAGCTGAGCTAAAGCTTAAAGCAGAGCAAAGTATGCGTTTTCGTTTATATTTTTAGCCTACACTGTACTAACATCAGCACATACTGAGACATATTTGCAGCCAAGATGGTAAAACGCACATAAAATGCAGTGGCTCCCCACTTAGTTTGATTTTTGTTGAAAGGACAGAATGACTCTTCTTAACATTTGTGTTGTCGACCCCCACCCTACACCCCTTGCTAAATAAAAGATAGAGCTAAAACATAAGCAAAGAGATGCGTGTCTAAAATTTACACACAAGGATTTAGACAAATGATTACTGTTTTAAAACAATGTACTGTGATCAGATGAAACAAAAATAGAACTGGATGGAATTTGGCAAAAAATTTCAGCTTGTCATAAAAGAGATAAAAGTTTGTATAATCCCGAGAGCACTATACCCATCTCGAAGTACAATGGGTGAGCATCATGACATGGGGCTGCTTCTCTTGCTTATGGCACTGAGGCATTACAGCACGTCATCCAAAGAGACATGACTGGGGCAATGTACCAGGAGATAGTAGAGGACAATTTAATCTCATTGGCCAAGAAACTGAATTTAGGGTTAAAATTGATGTTTTAATGAGACACTGACCTCAAACATACAGTCAAAGTGACTCAAGGTGAAGGTGCATGCACAGTCTAGCCAAACTTCTCACTTTCATTTAAAACAGAAGATTTGGAAATTGTCCATCAGAGGGACCCTCGTAACCTTGAAGGCAATCCATTTCTATCAATTTCATTTTTTTGAGCATTTTTTTGTTTATGTTAATGAATACTTCAGTACATTTTTGGTCATATGTCACATATTTGTTCAAGTATAAAGTAAAAAAAACAATGTGTATAAAACATATTGCAGCCTTCTGTTGTATCAGTATTGCAAGAGTCAATATGGTGATAATAATTAACAAATGATAGATTTTGCAGCCCTACTGCCCAACAAACAGCACAGAGGGGCTCAGTGCCAGTTTAAAAGCTGCTTAAGCAGAGAAATTCAGTCTAAGCTTTGTCTCCGAGACCAGACAAGACGTGACCTAAGGCAATAATGACGACAAACACATCATTGTTTTTACCAAATCGTACATTTCGAGGTCAGTGACTTAGATACCAGTGTTCCTTGTCTAGAACAGCAGTCAGTGTTTTTCAAGGGTAGTTCTTGCAATCAGTTGAGACATTTGCAGTACTCAGTAATTCAGTGCTATTGAAGGATGGGCCTTCAGCTTTACTAAAATAAGGATTCAGAGTATTTCATGCAAAATATTAACTCACTTTATATCTCATAAATCCTGTCTGAATATGTATTCAGGCAAATGATCTTTTGACCCTCAGATGAAAGCTTGACAGAGTCAGTGACTCCAGCTGCACTGGATCCTTCCCCAGTGCCCACCTCTGGCAAGACAGAGACGTTTGAGCAGGCAGAGGGCGCCGCGGTGCAGCCGGTGATGGGGGTCAGTCAGCGGGTCAGGACTGGACCAAAGAAGAAGAAAGACCTTGGCACTACGGGTAGGTCTTGTGATTGAGATAAAAGTGGAGAAATTCCAAAGTCGACTCCCACCAGCCTCTCTTCTTTATAACAAATTGAAAAGATGGAAAAGATTGAAGTGGAGTAATACACTAGAGTGCTTCGCTTTTCAGGTGGTCTACATCTGGGTCTAGGCTTCAGACACCAAGCTTGTTTTTATGAAGACCTGTATCATGGAAAAGTGACTTTTTTCCTCACTGTTTTTAAATATAAGAGTTAGGTGTCATATATAAACACTCTTGAAGTTTCAAAAGTCAGTACTATTCACTCCCCACACCACACAGTTCATATATGGAAACTAAAGGAGAATTCCACTGATTTTTAAAAATTGCTACATAGTAAAATGGTTAAGATGTAAACAAAGTCATTCAGAGTGGTTTGATGTGAAATGCTCAATTCTAGAGAAACTTACAGAGTCAGAATTGTAAATGCACCCTCGTAGAAAGTTATTAAATAAAATCGTTATGAATACACTGCTGGATGTCTGAGACACTGTTTATGATAGTTTAGAGAAGGTTTTGGTTTAAAACACATACACACACATGCTGGGGAGGTATACGCAGGGCGTTGTGAGGCATTACATATAAAAAGTCAGAAGACATGTAGGTTCACCAGTGGTTTTGGATAGGAAATAAAATGGCTACATATGTGTTGTAGACAACACAATCCCTAGTTTCTGTCACCATCACTGTAAAGAAATCTGAGTCTGTAAGTTTCTCTACAATTAACCATCTCACATCAAACCACTCTAAATGAATGTTTACATCTCAACCACTGAATTATGCAGAAATGTTGAAAAAATTGGTGAAATTCCCCTTCAAGCTGCAAAAAGTTTTGAATGATTTGTTTTTGTGATGTCACGAAAACAGGATGTTTGCATATATTTTATCACACAGCCTATTCAGCCTACACCCAGAGGTAGGCCACCTAAACTGGAGCACTGGAGTGGATGTGTCCTCAAATCGCTCCGTTCCAAATAAAATTTGCAGAATTTTCTTCTTACTTCAAATGTTGTCAGTCAGTCAAGATAAGTTGACTTTTTTACTCTTGCACTGGAGCTACAAGGCTTATGAAGCTAAGTAATGGTAGCTTATATCCCACTAAATAGGATTGTGCTAACAACATGCCTCAGTCATCACACTTGCCTCAAGTTGCATTAAGTAATTTCAAATAAAATTGATTCTGTGTTTTTTTTTGTTCAGATCAAAACCTTATCTCAAAATGTAAAACAGTGTCTCAGGCATCATGTAATGAAAGGAATTTCCTTGTAAGGCGTAGTAGATTGCTACTATTCATGTTTTTAGCTATGCAACACTATCCATTTCCATTTTTATAGAATATTTTTACTTTAATGATTTGCTCTTGACTTACTCTCTGCTTTGCTGATGTGCTCTCTTTTAGGTTATGTTCTAGCCGCTCTCATGATGGGCATCATCATCTTACTTGGAGTAGGAATCACACTGGGCTACTTATATAAACGGTCAGTACTCTCACACAGACATGCGTGAAGAAATGCACACACCACCAGCTTTGCAAATAGAAACATATTGTTGCAGTAGGGCCACTGCAGAAGAGAACAGAGTGTGAAATCAGAATAAAGACACAGACAAAGCGCTGCTTATATGCCTGCACAGAAATAGGGCATGAAGAGACATGCAGAATGGAGCCTGCTGTAATTTAGTGGGCTGACGTGGTATAGTATAATTTTTTTTGAGACACTGGGTACATGGAGCCTGATGGCTGTTGAGTGCTCTGTAGAGCTTATTACTGAGGTATTTTGAGTAGTGTCAAAAGCTGTTGTATGTGGTTTTGAGCGTTTGTGTGGGAGGTGTTGTTTTGAGAGCTTGAGGGGCGACTGTGGATAAGGCGTGAGGTGTGTTTTTCAGCGAGAGGGCGTGCAGGAACAGAATGTCGCAACAGGAGAATGGGCATCAGCTGGACTCACTCACCCATACACTGAGTTTAGGGCACGGTAATATATCAAAATAATATTGGTATGTGTAAATAATTGCTTTAAATATATAAGATATATATATATATATATATCAGGATCAGACAGATTTGACCGTTAGTGACTGTAGCTGACTGACCTCTACCCTTTCCATCAATGGATTGGGACCACTACATGACCACTGCTGACCAGATACCAGATTTTGATGGAAGCAGAAGAGGTGGCTGTCAGATTCTGCATAGCAACCAATGGACTCCAGTCAGTAATTGTAAACCTAAAGTGCACCTATATGGTAGGTGTTTCTGATAAACTGCCAACTCAGCGTATGTACCATCAGTTCTGTCCACTAAGTCTGCCTCTCTAACGTCAGTAGACTCATAAGAAACTGCCCAAAGGCTGAGAGAAAAACAGAGCAGAAAGAGGCTGTCTGTTTGTCTATTTTTAGAAGCTTGTATTCCAGTCTGTTGAGTGAGTGAGCAGTAAAAGGAAACTGGAAGGAAAGGAGACAAGATAACACTGACTGCTGAAGCACACAGATAAGGCTGCTCTATGGCTCCCCTAATCAAGGTCTAATTATCATGAAAGGATGGTTTTGTGAAAAATCTAATTTACAGTCTTTCGCTTACTCCAGTTGTATTCAGCCGAGACATGATTGGTGTTTCAGTTTGTCTTCTTTAGTTTAGGACTGGAGCTACACTACTAACAAACACTGAAATCAATTGTCACCCAAATCTCTTCTGTAAATGCATCCCAGAGCTTCTCTTAGTCTGCTCATATCACATTCAGATCTTCATTATGTGTTGTGCTGAACTTTAATTCATCTTCCTGTACACGCACATTACTCAGGCACATGGATGACACGGTACGTTTATGATGTCTGCTGTTTCTATTTATAAATAACTGTTAATCGTGTATGAGGTTAGAGTCTGTAGAGGAGTCACCTGTTGTCTAAAATCTGTGTCCACAGAATTCAGAAGTTTTGTTCTTTATAGCTTATAGTCGGTCATACAGTGTCCTAAAGTGCACTGGCAGGTCTGTACAACCTAAGTGATGATCTGGATGTGGTGTAAGTCGGGTTGAGAGAAGATTTTGGGGATGTATTTACAGATTCTAGTGTTTGTTATCAGTGTTGGCCTTGCAGCTCCAGTGCTAAACTAAAGAAACAACATTTGGATGCCAGACATGTCTTGGCTGATCAACTACATCTTGGGTAAGTGGGAAATAGTGTAAATTTGATTTTAAGCTGAACCATTCCTTTAAGAGTGGAAAGGCGGAGCTGGCTGTGATCAATAGAAATGGATAGCTTATCCCAGCATGCTTGGTTATGACCAGTGGACACTCCCTTATCTCAGCCTCAAGAAAGAATTTGCAAAAGTTTAACCAGTATCAAAATTTTGTCACTGATTTAAAAGAGGCTAAAATTGCAATAATTAAATTCTGTTCAGCTGATATAACTTCAGCAGTTTTAGCTAAACAGTGCCTTACTGACTGATAATGAATTGTAAATCGTCCAGTATGGGCAGTTCTCAATCGTCAGATGAGCCTTTCTTCTCACATTTGAGGTATCTGTTCACATTACCGTCTAAAAAAAAGCCTTTTTAGTGGTTTATTGGGGTTTCTGTCAATTTTGGTAAAACTGCGGATCCTTGATAATGGCCGATTTTATCCAGCACACAAAATATCAGCCGGGCCCTTCATATAAACCTGCCACTTGCTTCATTATTGTAGAGAAAATGTACCTGGTCAGCTTACATCAGCAGAAAACAGGTTTGGTCTTGGATCAATGGTAAGGGGCCACTTTTCTGTCTGTGTCTAATGGACACCCTGGCAGAGCACCCAGTCGCTGCCCTTGAAACTCTGTGTCTTTGTGCTTGTGTGTCAGCTGTGATTATCTTCCCCTGTCATCGTTATCTCTCTTTGTAAGTAGCTCAGTACTAATGAGCATAGGCAGCATGCAGTGTTGAGCAGCTTACTGTTTGTGACAGGGCAGTTATGTCACACATACAGCTTCATAGTGGCTTATTATGTCATCTGTGTGAAAGGGGTACTTCAGTGTTTTTCGGCTTAATCGCTATCTGCTGCGTCCATATCATATAGTAGACAATAATTTAAACATTTTTCCCTGTACTTAGTAAAAGAACAGAAGACTTGTTGATTTGAAACACTATTTTGACAGAAGCCAGTGAGCTCTGTCAAAAGAGCTCTGTCAGTGCAAGGCCTGGGCGATGGTACAGTGTATCGGAGTTCGAAATAACCCGATAAAAATGCTGGGAACAACAGATGACTAGTGTAAAATTAAACAGCTTGCTAAATAAGATTAAATATGATGTAAAAGTAATTGTTTCATTCACTCTTACTGGTAAAACAGTGGACCAAACAGGGTGTTTATAAGCCGTTAGGTTATGTTTTATAATTTTATAATTTTTCCTATAGCTTAAGTGTCCCGATGGTTCAGAATACAGTGGTTTCCCACGAGCATCTGTAGCTTAATTCCAGCACGCCTCAGCTATAATGATAGGAAAACGCCCGTGGATGTGGCTTTGGAAGTCGCCCACTCACTCGAGCACAATTTGAAGTTTAACAGTCTGAAGTCACTTTTCAAGTGTCATTAAAGAGAAGAAGCAGCCATGAACCCACACAAGGAGGGGCTCATGAACACGTTTTTTGCAGTCACACCTTTAAAATGAGATGAAATGGTTTAGTACTGAAACACGTCCCACCTAACACAGCACAAGCTTGGTTACAGCTAACTGAGGTTGAAGTGACACCTGTTTAGAGGATATCTGAGAGTGACTGGAGTTAGAGTGAAAGCTGATATCGAAAGTGTTCTGTGGCATGTGTAGCTCTTAGCCGTGTCTGAGCCACTGTCTTGCTTAGTTTTCTGAGTTTTTTCCCTGCCTCTGATTTTTTCCCCTTTTTTCTAACAGTGGTATCTATTAGTTAGCACCCACACCACCAGTGAGTGAGCTCCTTTACAGTATAAATGGGTGTAATGCATTAATTTGGCCGTTCAGATGTGGAATCAAAATATAATAATTGTTAGAAAAGGTATCATTTTTAAATACAGCAGTAAACCTTATTACACTTATTACTGCCAAACCCCAGCTGAAAACATATAAGCTGAAGATAGCATAGAAAGTCTAAGATGCGATGTGTGAGGGCAGGGGTGGTATTATTGGTAATTTTTAACAAGAAATTGTGATTGAAATTATTTGTAGATATTACTACCTTGTGGTAATTGTTGCAGCATTGAGAGATGAGGTTGAAAATTGCTGGAATAATCCTTTAAACAACATTGCATTCCTACATTTCTTTAGCAGTTTTCTTGGCTAAAAGTTTCTTTGCTGACTAGGGTGTTGCTGAATAGAGTTTCTTTCAAAGCGTGGCCTTTGCTCTGATGACTGCAGAGGGTGGGTGAACGAGTTGAAGCTCATTGCTTTGTTAATACAGGGCCCACTGCAGAGAGGCAGGCGTGTAGAGAGGCGGGATGGTTGCGTAACGCGCTGCAGGCTTGTTCCACACAGCTGAGCCGGAAGAGAGAGAGGAGGCTGATATGGATAGAGCAGAAAGATGGATTGGAAGAGAACAGAGAGACTAGAAATAGAGGAAAGATTGAGGAGAGAGAAAGAAGAGAGCCAGCATATCACCCTGTCCCGCCACGAGCGTCTGTCTGTCCGCACCCCATCATCAACCCGACTGCCTCTTATAAACCCTGAGAATAAAGGCTATCCATCCGCTCCATGTCAGCGTGTGAGCCAGCAGCACAGGCTCAGCTTTGGTTCTGCATCGTCCCAGTACAGCCTCTCCACACTAGCGCAGATTAATAGTCCAGACTAAAAATACACACACCCTCAGCCAAGTCTTATCCTGGAGCTCCTTACTGCACCCGGTAGGGTTTCTAAATGTAATACCAGCCTCTTTCTAAAGAGATTCTCATAAATAAAATGAGGCTTTTCCTTAAGAGGAACGAGAGCTTGTTCCTTTCATTTAGAGAACGCTCTGAAAGATTTCAAGAGCAAAATGAGACCCAGCTGCGGAGAGAGTGTTGAATAACTGGATTATGTAATTTAAGTCCCCTTGAATTTGCTTGAATGCCGCCTCCTGACTGCAGTTAAACAAATTGAGCTGTTTGAGTTTATAGACTAAGTAGCTAAAGTAGCTGGAGTTAAATTAGCATGCTGCCAGTGTCTCATGAAGTAAGAGTTTTTGTGTTTTTCTTGTTCTCTCAACCCTTGGGCTGGCTTAACACAGTGAAACTTTAATGCAACTTTAGTTGCATGAAACCTACATGAAACAAGTCCTGTAACACACTTGAAACTCCTCTGCATAAACTGCGAAACATCTCAACTGTGAATTTGTTTTGTCCTAATTTGATGCTCGCTTAATTTAATGTAAATTATAACAGAAGAGGAGAGAGATGTGGTCCTCAATGAATCAAAAATGCAAATATTTTATAAAGAGTTTTTGATAGATGGATAGATATAATGTAGATTTTAAAAAACTAATGTCAGTGACAGCTAAAAAATATAAGAAGATGACAAAAATGCTGCCAACATTTAAAATTACACCTTGCGGATGACTTTATATCGAGAACGATACAGTGTATTAAAAAACACGAGCTGCTGACTTGTCTATCTAGTGGAGTTATTGGATGTGTTGCATGCAACTTTGTTTTTGAATTGCTTTGTGTAACTGTCAGGTTGTATGGAAATGGTTGCAGGCAACTCACAACATGCAACTAGTTGCATGAAAGTGTCACCATGTGAAGCAAGTCCTAGAAGCCTACATTTGCAGTCATTTTGCTGTACATTCAGTTTGCATTATTATTTAAAATGTAATAATTATTACTCCATTAGTTACATAATGAACTACATTTACATTTGACTTATCTTCTGTATTGCACACACTTAACAGTCAGTGGGTTCAAGCCTTTTCTGTTTGTTTTGACGTTAAAAAAACTACAAAATGTGACATAATTCCAGTAACTTTTCATGAAATTTAAATTCAATCAAAATATTTCCTACTTACAAACACGCTACTTAGAATCTGCCCTTTCTCCACTACTTTCTTTGAGATGAGTGAGAAATAACAGCGACTTCCAAGCTGTGTTGAATAAGTTGTGAGAAAACGAATGTGCATTTGAAAAAATGAGTTTCTGTGTACTGATGTACTGAAATGCAGTATTTGCTAGTTCAGGCCACACCTTCAACATGTGGTTGCAGTATGAGAAGAGACGGTGTGGCTCTAAGATGAATGTACAGTTCAGTGTCACATCATTTATTTTGCCAGTGTTGATTTTGCTGTCCAACTAATTACTTACCACACTTTTAGTCAAGGCCTTTTCAGGGGCCTGTGGCAGTTCTAATATTCAACCCACTGCGATGCCCCTGCCATGTTTTCAATGAAAAGAATTTTAAAAAGGTCCAAAATGTGCGTGATGGTAAGACTATAGTTATAAGTATTTTTGCCATTTTAATCAGATGATGTGTTTCAGCAAACCGCCCTGTGACATTTACCAGTGATTTATATGAAAAATCCATATTTTTCAGAAAGGTTATGCTCCAACTGTAGGTAGTGACAGTTTTGATGCAACAGTCAAAGTTTCCATTTCCAGCAGAATTTGCTATGTTTTAGATATAATACATCACGTGGAGACATTGCCCTACAGATTTGTGTTTTTGCATGAAAATTAAGTAAATTCCGGGACAGTCCAGAAATGCATGTGAAAGTAAGACTATAATGTTACATATTTTTGGGTTTTGGTGCAAAAATGCAGAGATTTTAATGCTCAATTTGATTGATTAGTGCTTCTGCAGACAGGGCAGAGACGTTTTACAATCATTTCAATGAAAATAAAACTGTATTTTCATGAAGAGAAGCCTATAACCTTAGATAGAGACACTTTTGGTGTACCAGTGAAATGTCATTTTGAGAACAATTTCCAGTATATTGTACATCATGTGGAGACATTTTAAGTGTGTTTTAATGAGAATTGGGGGAATTCAAGAATATTCTAAAAATGCACCCGAAAGTAAGACTGTCTTACATATATTGGCTGTATTGGTGCAAAGTGATTTTCATATTGATCTGGATGGCATGTGCTTTGCAGCGACATTTACCAGTGATTTCAAAAAAAATGAAAGTTCTTTAATCTTAGGTAGTGATGGTTCAATCTTAGGTAGTGATGGTGTTTGTGTACCAGTGAAATGTGATTGAATGAATTTCCAAAAAGTCTATTGAATATAATACACCAAGTGGAAACATATTCCAGCTGATTTAAGTGCTTTTGTGTTAAAATAAAAAGAATTGTGATGATAACTGTTGTAACAGACTGTCCTGTGATGTTTAACAGTGATTTCAAGAGAAACACTGATTTTCAGAAAGATACACCTATAATCTTAGATAATGTTGTTTTTGATGTACCATTGAAAGTTTGTGTTCAGTCAGAATATCCAAGATTTTGGTTGTAATACACCATATGGGGGCATTTTCCAACTGATTTAAGTGTTTTTACACAAAAATGAAGAGAGTTTAAGAACTGTCCAAAAATGCACTCGATGGCAAGACTATAGTCTTATGTATTTTGTCTGTTTTGGTGCAAAAATGCAAGTTGATTTCTACACTTAATTTGAATTAAACCTAATTCAGCAGACCATCCTGTGACACGCACCAGTGACTTTAAGGAAAATATCACTATTTTCAGCCTATAACCTTATGTACCGATGGTTTTGCTGTACCGAGGAAAATTGGTTTTCATACAGAATTGGCAATATATTTAATATTATAAACTGTGTGGAAACACTTTCCAACTGATTTAAGGGCTTTTTCATAACAATTAGTGGAATTGAAGAACATTCCAGAAATGCCCACCAGCGTAAGGCTATAGTCTTGTGTGTTTTGGCCATTTGGGTGCGAAAGTGCACAGTGCACAGATGCTCATTTTTATGTTTAACGTGAATGACCAGTGCTTCTACATACAGGGCTGGGACAATTTAGTCATTTTAAAGAAAATAAACTCATTATAGATCATTAGGTCTTAATAGCTTAGGTGCACCAGAATGCCTTGTTGACCCCACAGATATAAGAAATGTATTTCTATCTGTTGCTCACTCGAGTCTGTCTTGTCCTCTGCAGGGGTCGAGACCTGAAGAAGCAGCACGAGCAGCGTGTGTATGAGCGCGAGATGCACCGCATCACTCTCCCCCTCTCCGCCTTCGCCAACCCTACGTGTGAGCTGGTGGACGAGAACACCATCGTTATAACGGCTGAGACCACTGAGCAGACGCCCACTCAGGACACTGTGGAGGGCGGAGACCCCCTGATAAACCCAGCGGGAACCCCCGGAGCCTGAAAGAAACACCATATGGACGGCTTGAGAAAAATGTGACTATAGGACTGTGCAGCATTTCGGACCAACACTCCAACTACACGCTCTCTATCGCTCTCCTGGTGTTTAAAGTCCTTTCCAGAAAGAAGGGAAGCCATTCAGAAGACAGCTGACATCCATTTCTCCTAAACTGAGGAGTGGAGGATGGGAGAGGACACTGCTAAGGACATGAGAAAGAGGGGATGTATAAAAGTGCATGTCAGAGGTTCTTTTTTGAGAAGAATTGCATCCAAATTTTTCCACCGGTCGGTCCCAAAGTCCACACTTACTCCGACATATTTCCGAATTCAGTAAATTCTGGATAAGCAAGTGTGCAGATATGTATTGTATCTTAGTGGGACAGGTAGTTGCTAACAAACTTCCCTGATATTTCAAAAGCAGTGTCAACAATGCTTTAAACTGTGGAATACATACTTAGCCCAGTACTGCTCTGATGTGGCATTTGGAAAAGGGTGGGTTTAGGGTGCATTTAGGGTGCATTTAGGGTGCATTTGTGGACTGAGGTCTTTTGCACTTTGCTTTTGAAAGCGTATGAACGCAAGTGTGAACCTTGGGACAAAGAACGCTTGCGTTCTCTACTCAGGCCACAGCAATTCACCAGTCTTCATACGCTGGTTCAAGCATGACAGTCCATTAGCAAACATCACAAGCTCATTTGAAGTGAAGCTGTGTTTTAGAGTTAATCAAGTGTTTGAGAAAAAGGAGGGAAATTGCATTCTTTTCCTGTCGTTTTCTGCAGTTGTTTTGTTCCGTTTTGCTAATGAGTGGGAAAGAATGGAACAAACAGGGGCCTTTGTGCCTCTATTCATCCATATTGCTCAGTGTCTAAGTGGCTGTGAGGCAGTTAGCAGTCTAATAGCTAATATGCTTTCATAGGCTTTCTCAACAATTAGCACAGTGTTATTGAAGAGGAAAGAGCTTATTTTGGGTTTGAGGACAAAGAGCGAAATCATGCCAGGGTTTCCACAGACGTGGCCTTAGTGTAGTCCTTATGAATGTATCACAGTCTCTGGATGTCCCTGAGTTTGTAAGTGTTACAGCTGTTGATTTGGGTGTGAATGGAGAAACATGAGAAACATCCTTGAGACACTACAAGAAAGACGATCAGGATAGGTTGTTCACCAAAGCCAGTGAAAAACATACTGTGGCTCAACAGCAACTCTGTCCTTGACTTTGAAATATAGCAATGTTCCACATCATTTATACACGTGGCCTTTAGTCAAAACATTTCTAGGACATGGTTGTTTTTTACGTGGATGGAAGAACAATAGCTTCATCAACAGCATCTAAGCAGGAAAAAAGGTAGATGGAACTTGTTAACATTGTCATTTTCACAAATCCATTTCATGAAAGAAGCTCGAAAGCCTGCAGTCTTGGAAAGCTCTGACTTTTTCCCTTCATAAAACTCTAAATGTGGATGGTCTTCTTCATCGTCAGTCGCTGGGGAGTAATTTGGTTATTGTGGTTTGTTTTCATTTTGCTATGGCCTGGAATTTGTATTGTTTTTTTTCTCTCTGCACTCTTGTTTGATGTACCAGAGTACACCTGCATATAGTTTTGAAAGAACTTGTATTTTTATGTTTGGCAGATTTTTCCTGCTGTGACTGAGGGAAGAAAGAACTCGAAATGGTGTCTTGTGCTTTGTTCATGTAAATGATCTAACTTTTTTACACTTTTGCTCAATCACGATATCACTATATCCTAAAAATGATGGGAACAAGTCCTTCTGATTCAGAGAATCACTGCAGATGAACGTTGCAACCTGAATGCAAACCGAAAGGTTGCTAGTGCAGGTTGTGTCCAATAGCGACCCCTAGTGCCAGCATTAATTTGATTCACATTAGGGAAATATGTCATAAGCCACTGTAGGAAAAAAAGAAGCTGTACAAGTTTTTACTCATTTAACATTTATTTATGAAACACTAGTGTAAGGTAATTGTAGTGGTTATGATTTTTACACATCAGTACCTCAAAGATAATGCTTGAGAAAAAAAAAAATGTTCTTTTCACATTCTACAAAATTCTGCAATCAACAAAACCCCTATTATCCCAAAACAGTCATACAAAATTAATTATAAACCTCTATACAATTCATACACCAATCTCAAACAAAGAGTGTCCAGTTTTGTGAGTGTTTTGATCAAAGGAAGTGCAGCATTCTGTGCTACTCACCAAACAGCTTTATAATTATTGTGGTGCACAGCTGCTTTGATAAACTATTTACATCAAGCTGGGAGTCTAAAGCTCTGTGTAACAACAGGTCAGGATACAGATTACTCAGTAACTAAAGGCCACCCACACAGGGATTTCATGGCATGCATTTAATTTGAGGGCATCAAAATCTTTCGAAGAATTGACTTTTGGGGTTCTTAACTAGGCCTCTGGCTTTATAACAGTGTTATAAATTGAACAATTACCTGTGACTTCAGTATAGAGAATGTGTGATCTTGCGAATATTGACAGAAGCTACTCATAAATATTTAATTCTTAACATTCTGAATGATATTTATTGTTTATGCTTGTGTCATGAAGTCCCTATGTAGGTAGCCTTCAAATAGCGTTAGATTGTTTGATCATTTAATAAACAGTTCCCGAACAAGTTTTCAGCAATATATCGAACAATTCAGAGGAAAATAGAGAAATACTAGTCGCTCTCAAAGTTTGATCTTGCCTCTCCATTGAGGAGAAATGAATAAATCCAGTTTTTAAAGTAGATGTGTACATATAATCATCCAGCAGGGGGCAGCATGGCCAAACACTTCTGAACTTCAGGAAACGTGCCAGAATTGAACAGAGCACGCTGAAGTACTTAGTTATTAAGCATCAACAGATATAGTGAACTCCCCTAAGCACACTATTAGATAGTCTTGGCTGTTAGATGTCTAAAGCACTAAAACAGCAATGCTACTCATTTGTCCAGAGGCACCCACTCTCAGATACCGTGACAAGACCTTTGAGTTTTTGTGATCGTAGCAGAAACAAAGCTAGCAGCTGTATGTCGTTCAGGAAACATTAGATTCATTTTTACAGATGTATCATGATGCCTCCAGTTGGAGGCACTCCAGAAATAAATGGCAAAGGTGATGCCAAAAATCCCATATTAGTCTGTTATGTAAGGAAACAAAAACCTTACCCTCCAAAAAGCAGAAAAGAGGAAGACAAAGACCCTTCAGACCACTGAAACGTGCCTGTTCCCTCATTAGAAACCTGCGAAGCTGCACTCTAGAATGCCCTCGAAGTTCTGAAAGCCAACACGAACATTCCATGGACAGCATTCCAAGCACTGCAGTCTGCACTCACTTTACGCAGCATTTCCACAGCTCCAGTCATGTAAACTCATCCGTGTAGGTAATTAAGAAGAATAAGGTTAGTCCAGCTCCTTTTGGTCACTGCCTCCAGCAGTCTTTGTGCAGGCTCTCAGTGAGCGGGGGGTCATGCGGAGACCAGAAAAAGGCCCGTCCCCATGGGCTATGTGCCGTTGCTTTCTAGGGTGGACCGTTCCGGAGCCCGTGTGGTGGGGCTGGGGTTGGGCGAGAGGTCATCCATGTTTGGACCGTGAGTCCTCCACAGGTTCTGCTGCAGTTCGTCCAGCTCGGCTGGCAGAGGAATGCCCAGCTCTTGGTTCAGTGCCAAAGCCTCGAACCAGTCGTCCAGCTTCTCAAACGCTGGTCTGCAGACACAAGAAGAAATGGGGTCAGATAGAGCTGAACAGTTTATCATCTGTTATTCATCATCACAGTTAAGGAGGCACTGATCCAATATACCAACATCGTTAAACAGATCAGGAATTGACACGACATCCAGATTCAATACTGTTCCTCATCCTTGTCATTAATAATTATATCAACACATTATCCATTACTTTGTCATATTCTTAATTAGTTTCTTATGTATTCTTTTTTTGGCTCACACAGTTAGAAATGTTGTGTAGTTACAGTCCAATGCTATCATACGCATAGAAGAATGATCCCACATAGTGAGGTACAGTGCTGTGCAAAAGTCAGACACCACTCTTCATATCTTTAATTTAGAGTCAAAATGGCCTTTAAATACTCGTCACTCGTTTTTCAGGAAATACTTCAGAGGAGAATAAGGAGGAAGGGGGAAATAAATGATAAATCAGGAGTTTCCAAAACTAGAATTAAAAAAATATATTAAAAGTTACAGAGACAACTGGACACCTAACAACCATGCAAGACCTGATGGACCTGGAAAACGCAACCGACTTCTAAGACAAATTTTTGGAAGTGTGGAAAAATATCCCTGCAGATCCTCTGAAAAACTGAAAACTGAAAGTCTCCTTAAAATAATGAAAGCTATAATAAAGGTAAATGATACACAAACTAAATAATAAAAAAATTGATTTTATACTTAGTAGCTCAGGTTTCTGTGTAATTTTCTGTTGTTTCCTGACCCTGAAAAATGAATGACTTAGTGGCAGTTGTGACTGAAAATTAGTCTTTTGCATAGCATTGAAGTTTAAAAAAAACAAAAAACAACAACAAAAAAAAGATCAGACTGGTACTCAGCATCAGCCAAACCCCTGACTTCAGTATCAGCAAAGAAAAAGCAGGATGAGTGAAACTCTAATCCCGATACTGACCTTTGAAATACTGATCACAGAATGCTGCTACATGCAAATGAGGCTCTAAAGAAATCACTAGTTTTCCATTTATGCGTGAGCATTCTTCTAATCACATGATCACATGATACTGTTAAGCTTATCTGGTGTTTGGGTGTATCAAGACATTCTCAGGACCCAATAAACATGAATCATTTTGGTCAAAGGCAACGCAAAATAATCTGTAACCATATAAGGGTTTCAGTAAAACATATTACACGGTGTATCACAACTGCAATAAGTGGCAATGCAAATGCAATATGGAGCTCTGTCCAAGACCTGATACAACTAATCAGCTAATTAAGTGTGAAACACTGAAGGTGGGGGGCAGCAGGGTTGGGAGCTGCTCAGTTAGGTGACTCCTGCTTTGCATCATCTATTTAAATACAGCCATGTTGTTCAGGTTTGTTCTACAGTAAATGCACAGTCCAAAAGCCCTAGATTTATGAAGGAAGGAGAAAAATCACGAGGCACATTGTTAAAATGAACTCTTCTTCCAGTCTAAACTTCATCGCCCACTACTGACCAAACTGAAGGAGGATTTACATGCTGGCTATTGCAGTTGCAGTGAACACTGTGAGTCAGTGAGTACAATACAAGTGGAGTAAACATTAGAAAAGTCATTAGCTCTGCTGGGCGTGTTCACAGAACATGTTTTGCTGTGTTCTGTGGAGCATGTTTTTCTCGATGGGCTCTGTGGCTTAAGAGTGGCAGAGAATAGTGTGTTTACTGTACTGTGAAAGAATTAAGGGCTCTACACACACACACACACACACACATACATACACACACATATATATATATACACACACACACACACATACACATATATATACACATACATACACACACATATACATATATATATATATATATATTATATATATATATATATATATATATATATATATATATATATATGATATACACACACACACACATACATACACATATACATACATACATACATACATACATATATATATGGAGAGAGAGAGAGAGAGAGAGAGAGAGAGAGAGAGACAGACTTCATTTGCTGACATCTCTTAATATCCCTTGCAACTGAAGTCAAAACAACAACGTGCATGACAGGTGTGCTGAAAAACAATCTTACAGGAGTGCAACCAGCCATCCTATATGCAGAACCAAAGTTGGCACATCCATGCTCCGCCGACAACTCAAGAGACTGAAAAGGCTTTAAAGCAGAGGTGCCCACACTTTTTCTCTTTGGGGAGATAAAGTGCAATCTGTGTGGTGGGCCGAGGGCCACAAAGACAAAGCAATGATACAAATCAAGTTTTTTAAAATGTATTTTATAACATTACACTATATTTTGCTACTTAAATACTTAAGAATGTAGTAAGTAATATGAAAGAATGTAAAAGAACTGGAGATGCACATAAACTCTGGCCCTAAAATTTGTCAGCCAAAAGAGAAAAAAGAGAAAAACAGCTGAAACAGCAGTTTTTAACATGAATGCTATGCTACCAGGCTGGACTATGTCGCTGTAGCTAAAGGACACTACTCAAAAAGGAAACAAAGAATTCTTAACCGTCAGAGATTGAATCCAATTTCATGACACAAAAGTACACTAAAACAACGTATCCTGACGATGTGGCCTTTCACACACAAAAGATCAGCTGAAATCTGTATTTGGACAAAAACTGAGCTGTTCACTACAGTCTCTCATTAGGCTGAACGGGATTTTTGCCAACATGCCGTAAGCTTACTCAACCTCACAACAGGACCTACAATAGAATACATTTTGAGAACACAGTGCAGTGAAAACACCTACTAAACCAGGCAACTGCTGAGTTGAATCAGGTGTGCTCAAGCAGGAAAATAATTAAACTCTGCTAGACTAAGACCTTCCAGGAGCTGAACTGCCATAACCCTTCTACTGACTGGAATCTCTCTGATCAACTCTTCTCGAGGGCTACTCTGAAAAGTTGAACTCACCGGCTGTCAGGAAAGAGGTCACAGCAGGCCACGGCCA